CCCCCCCGCTACAATCAGAGACCAAGGGTTAAAATCCAGGATTTTGGCTTGCAAGCTGCACTCAGACAACTACAAAAAGGCATTTATTTAAATTTAAAAAAAAAAACCCAATCAGAGGTGGGGCAGAATTTTATCCCGGTACCCAGAGGAGGACGGTGCCTGCTACGGATGCAACCATCACACACGCAACAGCACAAGAAGAGGGTTCAAAAATCCCTGCCAGGGGACTCCTGGAGGCATTTGGCTTCCATATAGAAATATCAAACTATTTTGAGTACAATTTGTTTGGGGTTTTTAGATGGTTGAGAGAGACTCTGCCAGATGCCTGAGTGAAACGCAAGCCCTGATGGAGAAGGGTGGGGAAAAGGAAAGGATGGCTATAGGGGGGGGCAGGGAGAGGGTGAAAGAAATAAATTAATAAAAAAATAAATAAAGGGAAATGTGTGAACGTGACAACTTCTATCATTTCAGCTCCCTCTGAGTGATGTAAGCGCAGGTCCCCGTGCCGGCTTCCCTGCGTGCTTTACGTCAAATCGAAACCTGAGGGAGCTGGAAGAGGAAACTACTGATTTGGGCTGGGTGGGAGCAGCAAACCCAACAATTTCCTGTCTGTGGTAGGACAAACCCAGGCTCTGGTATTCGCGGGGACGCCGCCGCCTCCTCCCGCCCCGCTCTCTTCCCCCTCCGACCGGGATCCGTGTCATCGTTGCGGGGACGCCGCTGCCTCCTCCCGCCCCACTCTCTTCCCCCTCCGACCGGGATCCGTCTCATCGGCCGGCTTCTTTTGAACCAAAGTGGACAGTACAGAGTGGAAAAAAAAATAATTAAAAATAAAATAAATTTTAAAAAAATCAAGTACAAATTTTTAAATTTAATTTTTTTCTTTTTTTGGTCCTAGCTTCCACACTCTGGGTAGAAATATTAATTGCCGTGACCGCGGCTTGGGGCTGCCAGCGTACGGCTTCTACCTACCCCCGCCCCAAATTCCTCTGGTCATTGGCAGTTCAGCTGAATATTCCACTTAGGCTAACAAAGAGGACATTATTTGAGGCACAATCCTGTAATTTGGCGTGGGCCTACGTGGAAGCTTCCTGGAGGCAAAAGCTGGATGTAAAATGAAGAGCCAGCCCCACGCAGATCAACGTGCGCAGCCGGAGATGTGTGTCAATATACACTTGTATATTCTCACTTAAAATGACGTGAAAAATGCGTTATTCGGGGACAAGGACTCAGCACAGGCCGTCAGCAAAAATATGGATTAAGTGGCAATATGTCAATGCAGAGTGTAATAAGTCAACCCAGTCTCCACTGGAGATGCTGAAGATGCATCTCTGCCTGGAGCATCAGCCGGCAGCCTCCAAGGTACCACTTTCACCTCAAAATGGCCCAAAATCACTGCCTGCTTCTGGAGCAGGAGGACTTCTGTGCTCAGCAGCGTGTCAGGTCCCCCCAGCCTCTGGGCTCACCATCCCACCTGTGCAGGTTTTGCTGTTAAAAAGCCTGGGATGAGGTTTCCTGGGGGAAATGAGGAGCTGGGTGGGTAGGGAGCATCGGAGCAGCCCCAATTGCCCCCAGCAGCAAATGCCACCACCGTTTATCATGTTATTGGAGACAACTGCTACCACTCCCTGCCTCAAAGGGAACACAAACAGCTTCTTGCAACCCTCCCGGCATATTAAATGGCACTCAGAGGCTTCTCGTGGACACCATGTACTTGAAAAGCGACAGCGAGGAGTCACCGAGGGCTGATTTTAAAGCAAAACATCCTTCTCGTCTCGACTCAACAGCCGGCGGCCAGAGGAGTATCTGCAGATCTTGCAGATGAAGATGCTTAGCTGTCATCCTGGTGGCATGGACCAGAGAAACGCCCCGACCACACTCCAGGCACCAAGCACTGATGCTCAGATAAGTATTTTTGGAAAGCATGGCCACAATAAACCCCTTCCTTTATTTCTCTTTAGCCTCCAACCCGTTCCTCTCATCTCTTCTAACACGTTGTCACCTAATGAGCCGCTACCCAAGTGTCCCTGGAGAAGTCCAAAGCAAAAGGAGCAGGTCCACCTCCAAGCCAGTGCTGCAGATTCCTCCTGCCTCGTGTTTGCAACAGAAACGGGCTGGGGCAAGGACTCTGCATTTCTCTTTCATAGCTTTAAGCTGTATCAAAGAGTTCATTCCAATTTCAAGGTAAAGAACTTCCCCAGCAAGTCTCAGGATGGCTGGGAGCATTTAGAGGTACTGCAAAACCTCAAACATAAAGCTGGGGAAATCAATGACGCTGCACTTTCTCGGTGTTTTATTCATAACCCTTTAAGGGGTCCATTAAGAAAATAAGACTTTAGAGGGAGAACAGTAATATTTTCAATCGATCTTGTAAAAAGTACAGCTGAAGCCACTGGCACAATAACATGGGCAGAGTCCATCCAATGGTGAACAGAGTGCCCAGGGTGAATCCCAGACACATTTGGAGGCTAAAACCAGGGAAAGAGTGAGTTTGATGTGCTTCAACGTGCTCTGTCACCTACAGCAAAACACTCTGCATGTGACAACTCCTGTGCCAGTCTCTCAGGTGACATCCTGC